GTGAAGTTTACCAGAAATATGTGTCTTTAGGGGACGATTATTTGATTTTGGGGGGTTGGGGGCGGGGGGACACGAATTCAGATAAACATAATCATTCAAATTAACATTAATCTTTGATATCTGAAAACATTTTTAAGACAACATTTATGTTTACTGAATGTCAAGTATGGAACAGTTCACCAAGTGAGATAAGATGTTTAAAAACCACTGTCAAAGGTTAGTGGTGAGTTGATCGTTTATTTTGTTTTTATAAACCCGCTACAGTCTTAGTGTGCCTGTCCAAATTCAGGAGCCTGTAGTTCAGTGTTTGTCGTTGGTTCATGTCTGCCATATTTGTTTTTCGTGAATTGATTTGTTAAAAATTAGGCCGTTTTATTTTCTCGTTTGAATTGTTTCCCGTTTATCTTGTCGAGGTCTTCTATAGCCGATTATACGGTATGGGGTTTTCTCTTTTTTGAAGGCTGTACGGTGGTCTGTAATTAATTATATCCACTACATTTGAACTTTGGTGGAAAAGTTTGCTATCATACCAAATCTCTTTATATGACTATCGTTCACCATATGAGTATGCATTAAACTAAATATTTTATATTTTTTGCCAAGTGTTTGAATTTTGTGGGGTAGGAAAGATTTATTTCATTACATCTTTCCTGGTGGCTTAGTTGACCCCTTCCTAGGCCATACTGTTGTATTCTGTATTAATGTATTATCGTTTTTTATTCATTATTATCTTGTTGTACAAATGTATATGTACAATGTATAAATTGTTTTAATTTTTATATGAGAAAATTTTTTACCCTGAATAAGTAAAAATATCGCAATTCTCCATCTTTTTTCTTTTTTCTTTTATGCTTCGCCCAATATGTCTTGACTTATCATAAAAATGAGGTTATCAAAATGTGTCGTCATGTAACATTAACATTGAATTGTTTATATACGTAGTCGTATATCATTACCCATTTCTGGGAGTATTGCCTGCCATTGTTTTTCCGCCTTGGTAATATTTTGCCAACCCTGTGTCCTCTAGGTGTATTTTTGTTAATTTTGGATTTTTTGGTGACGTACACCCATATCTACTTTTTTAGTATTAAAATGGATTTTGAAGGTATATTGATGATAGAAAAAAGTTACTTTTAGCCTTAGATACATGATTTTTTCATTAGTTGTTATTGGCTTTGAACTAGCCGTCAGTAACTGCGAGTACTCTCAGATCTGCACTTAGTTTATTTTTTGTTGTTATGGATGAGGGATATATATACCCTGCCACGTCCTGTCTGTGTTTTTGTTTGATATTTTTCTTTTTATCGATCTGATGAGTTAAGCCTTATTCATCTGATATTTATAGTTTGTTCTTTTGTTGTACTATTACACCACTGTCCCTGGTTAGGGAAGGCTTGAGTGCTCACAAACATGTTTAACCCCGCCACATTCTTTATGTGCCTGCCCCAAGTCAGGAGCCTGTAGTTCAGTGGTTGTCGTTGTCATATTTGTTTTTTCGTAAATTGTTTTGTTATAAATTAGGCCGTTAGTTTTCTCAATTGAATTGTTTTATATTTTTCATATCGGGGCCTTTTATAGCCTACTATACGGTATGCCGGTTTTTTCTCATTGTTGAAGGCCGTACCATTGCCTATAGTTGCTTACATACATTTCATTTGAACTTTGGTATGTATGTGTCTCATTGGCAATTATACCACATCTCCTATTTTTTATATTACTGTAGGAAAACTATGCCATACATCGGAAAAGATGAAATAAAGGATTTTATTATTTTTTTGTTAAACTTGCAGTACATTTTCGAGAGTAAATAAGTCGTTAAAAGGCAAAATATCTGACTAAAATTTCCCATGTTACCTACGCTAGTAAATTTCTAGATTGATTTATCATCTTTATATATATACATGTACATGAACTATTTGCTCCTGGACGTTATGCAACCACGAATCGATCAATTATTCATATTTTGTTTTGTTATGTGTCCGCAATTTACAAATATAGTCTCATCTCAAAAGTACAACATTCCGTAAATACGATCATATATCTTCCATTTTATACAGATCAGACAAATAAGATTAACAGTAAATGAAAAAGATAAAAAGATAGAAAATAAAAACTATCAGTTACTATTTCGATAACATATCAGTTTTCAAAACTACGGAGATCAATCAGAGTCTTCAAACTCAACATTATCAGGCAATAGCCATTCAGGGGTAGTCATGGCCTCTAAAATGGGCCATAGCACTTATGCCCTAAACCCGTATGAGTTTGTCAGAATAGGGTGAGAGGGTACCCGGTATGTCGCATATAGTCCAAATTTACTTCTGCCGGCTGGCCAAACTAAGAGATTCTCCATGAGGACATGCAATTATACAAGAAGTAGGCATTGCACGGGTCTAGGGCATAAGTGCTACAGACCATTTTAAAGGCAATGCCTACATATGTACCTCTACCTCTGGTATCATTGCCACGTGGATAATCTCTTAGTTTGACCAGCCGGCAATAGTTAATTTTGACTTTGTGATATACCAGGGTACTCCCCCTACCCTTTGCTGACAAACTCGTACAGGTCTAGGGCATAAGTGCTATGGGTCATTTTAGACGTCATGCCTACCTCTACCTCTGGTATCATTGCCCACGTGGAGAATCTCTTAGTTTGACCAGCCGGCAATAGTTAATTTTGACTGTGTGATATACCAGGGTATTCCCCCTACCCTTTGCTGACAAACTCGTACAGGTCTAGGGCATAAGTGATATGGGCCATTTTAGACGTCATGTCTACCTCTACCTCTTGTATAATGGCCCAGGTGGAGAATCTCCTAGTTTGGCCAGCCGGCAATACTTAATTTTAGACTATGTGATATACTGAGGTACCCCCCCCCCCCCCCCCCCAATTCTATGCTGACAAACTCGTACGGGTCTAGGGCATAAGTGCTATAGGCCAATTTAGAGGCCTTGCCTACCTCTACCTCTTGTATCATTGCCCACGTGAAGAATCTATTAGTTTGGCCAGCCGGCAATAGTCAAGTATGACTATGTGACATTCTGGGTATCCCCCCTTATGCTGACAAACTCGTACGGGTATAGGGCCTCTCAGATGCATGCCTACCTCTGAATGGAATGGCTTGATAATGCTGAGATTAAAGACTCTAGCCTATAGCACTTATGCCCTAGATCCGTAGTTTTGAAAAATGATATGTCATTGAAATAGTAACTAGTTTTTATTTTTCTGTTTATTTGTTTGATGTTTTTTTTTTCATTAACTGTAAATTTTCTTGTTTGTCTGATCTGTTTAAAATGGAAGATATATGATCGTATCTATGGCATGTAGTACTTTTGAGATGGGACAATATTTGCATATGACAATTAATTCCCTTTAATTCCTTTCAGTGTACGTGTAAATTATATTTGTTAAATCACTAAAGTCAAATATTTAACACTTCGAGAAGTCAAAGATGATCATTATTTATTAGACTCGTATTTATATGGATTGTTTGAGTGTATTTCCCATTTTGAAGAAGCATATATGCATATGTCATCGCTTTTGTTCAATTTCTTTATTTACAGTAATCGCTAAATTTCTCTATTTAAACATCTTTTTATTTATTGTAGTTTCAGTTTACATTATTTCACTAATCACAGAATTCAATGAATCGTTTCTTGGTTTTATGTGTATTGAGGTATTGACCTTTTTATTTACTTTCATTTTAAATGGTGTTAAAAGACGCCGACCTTGCAGAAGACACCTATTGATAAAAGATTTTATATTGCTATAAATAGCAGAGTCATATTGGATATTTACAGTAAAAAGTTATTTTATTGTCACAATCTATTAATTACCCACACTACTTCATCGAACGCGGTCTCATCTCATGAATATTATTGACGGCTAGCCTCATGAATATTAACGCCGTCTAGCTTCACACTAGTTTTTCCACTAGTCTTATCCGGTCATACAGTCATTTCTTTTCTATTCGAGATATGTGTAAAAATAAGCTGAACAAATCATATTGCCCAGTATTGCCAAGCATTACCCATTTCTGGGAGTATTTCCTGTCCATTGTTATTCCGCCTTAGTAATATTTTGCCAATTAACCCTGTGCCCTCTAGTTGTATTTTTGTTAATTTTGTATTTTTTTATGACGTATACCCCATATCTACTTTTTTTGTGTATTAAAATGGATTGTGAAGGTATCTTTATGAGAGAAAAAAAGTGACTGAAGGAAAACTATGCCAATCACCGGAAAATATAAAATAAAGGTTTTTATTAATTTGTTAAAACTGCAGTACATTTTCGAGAGGAAATCAGTCGTTAATAGGCAAAATATCTGACTGCAATTCCCCTTGTTACCTACGTTAGTAAATTTCTAGATTGATCTTTCATTTTCGTCTATATCCATGAACTATTTACCCCTGGCCGTTATGCAATCAGAAATCAGTCAATTAATCATATTTTGTTTTGTTATATGCCCGCGATTTACACACGAAAATGTTTGATAATGAAACATGATGACTTTTCCTTGGACGAGTTACAAGTATTTTTTTATTATTGATTAATCTAATTACTTTCAAATCCTCTTATAAGGAGTTTAATCATATTTTTTCTAAAGAAATGAAAACAAATAAAGATAAAAAAAAATGTAAATGAATTCATTTATTAAAGATAAAATGGAAAGCGGTACAAGTGTTGTTTGTTAATGATGTTATTAAGGTAAGATAGATTATATTTATAAGTATTTGTTTAACGGTAATAGGGAAGTATACGTCATGCAAATATCAATTTTATTTATCTGTTTGTCAGTTATTAAACCGGACACTGTACCATTGTGTACGGGTATCTTTTTTTTTTATAATAGTTACTAATAAGTCAAAATGTCCATTGGACAGTTCAACAAATACATGTATTTTCATTTAAACATTAGGTATGCGTAAAATCTAAAAATATATTCACTACCGGATGATCATTAGTAAATATCTATTTAAAGAAAAAATATTCAATCGATTTTTAAAAGGCATAATATTTCATGAAACTTTGACGTAACTTAAAAACTAATTAATATAATGGCATGCTGTGGTAGCAGGTTTGTTCTTTTTCTTTTTCATTATCATTTTATTGTTTTTTTAATTATTGTTTCTTCGATCGTCTTCTTTTCTTTTTTAATTATTGTCGTTAGCAGTATATATACGTACCATTATAATCATCATTATTTTTTATTTTCATCATTATTATAGTAACTTCTTATACAATAAATTTATACACCAAAAATTAACCACTTTCCCTGCGGAAAACTGTGTGGAGGTAAATTAATTGTATGTGGAATGTGCACTTACTTCAAATTAACTCCCTTTTTCCCGCCGGAAACAGCAAATACATTACTGTTTGGGAAAAAACACGTAGTACTAATATCTCTTTTAAATTTTGCTTGCTTTTTCACGTCGAAAAAACAACGATCTGTCATCGGATGAAAATGGCGGCAGCAACGAGATGTGGTTGCAGTTCTGACTTAGACATAGAAAATATTCAACAACGTAAAGACTCTTAAAACATGCATTACATTTATTTCTCTGTAATAATAATACATGATGGCCTTGGTCAAAAGATAATACCAAAATTATTAAACCTCAAAAAGAGTTATTTTCCTTCTTTCTTGGAGACCTCGAATGAAAGACCTTTTATTGGTTTAATAATTTTGAATATAGCATTTTGATGCAGATTATAATTGTATATTATTAGTTTCTTCTTAATATTGTTTATTTTTCATCGTTCGAGTGGAATATCATTTGTGAGCACCTTTAACGAAAAAAAAAAATCAAACAAAAATGTAAGACAAATTAATAATGAACACGATATTTGATTCTAGACCTACGCTAACATTTTGATCTCTTTGCCCGAACATAAAACAAAACGTCAACAATGTCTTCGTTAAAACAGTTTTTTTTTTTTTTTTTTTTGTATGGGAAACACTTCACGGGTTAAAATTGTTTCCTTAATGAAAAAAATCTCCTAGTGATAATAAGTCTCTTTTTTTATTTTGATCAGGGACAAGCCGTGTTACAATACAACCGATTCGCTCACGAGAAGCAAACATAATGTGACGTCAAATCAGCTGAAAATAGTTCTGGTAGGACAAGGAGGTGTTGGCAAGTCTAGTATAACATTACAATATGTGAAAGGACAATTCAATGAATACATTGATATGACAATTGGAGGCACGTAAAATTGCAATTTCTCAGATGCATAATTCTTTTTGACACTGCCCTACCCCAAATGGGGATACATCTTTGCAAAATCACAAAGAAAGTATTTTGGAAAATAATGTTAAAGAAAATAATACTATAGCTACACGGTGCTTAATGATACCATTGAAAGTTCACCGTTTTGTAATTGCATCTTGACCTTTATTTTCTCAGTCAGGAGAGACTATCCGTTTGACAAAAATGGAAGAACAAAAAAAAATGATTACGAAAAATGAAGCAAACAATTCAGTTGCAATGTGCTAACACATGCATATGTAAAATGTTTCTTTGATATAATGAACTTTACATTGTACATATTGTATATTCTAAAACAAACTTAGGACTAAATTACGAACGATTTAAATCAAACACCTTTTTCAGAAAATTTTCATTGTATGAGAGATAATATCTATATACTGTTCAAGCAAGGCCTCTTCCTTAAAAAAAGATGTTCAAAATAATGTGAAGTGTCCCAATAATCCGACGATATTTATCATTGTTCTATAATCGCATATATACATTTGTATCAACTTTAAGAAGGATAACATCCAAATCGATGACGGTTACGTTTTCTCGGTATCTGTCCAAATTAGAATGCCAAATTTCCTCGTTGATAATTAATATAGAAATTATTAAATAATTGCTAAGGTTCCAACTCTCTCAGACACAGTTGATCTTACATCAAGCCGGTTATACTTGTCATTTCCAAATGGTCATATGATATACATGTAGACCCTGTCTTACAAATGTTTTGGACTGATCGTTCCTGATGAAGGTAAATCCAGAAAAACGGTTTAGAGGCACGAACTTACTTAGTAATTTAGTGTTGTTTTCATTTGTATAAACATAAGGAGATCTGGTATGATTGCCAATGAGACAACTGTCCACCAAAGTTCAAATGAAGTGAATGTAAGCAATTATAGGCAATCATACAGCCTTCAACAATGATCAAAACCAATACCTTATTGTCGGCTAGAAAAGGCCCCGACATGAAAAATATGAAACAATTCAATTGAGAAAACTAACGGCCTAAATTAATGTTTACAATACAAGTTACGAAAAAGAAATATAACAGACGTGCACCAATAACCACTAGAATACAGGCTTCTGAATTGGGACAGGCACATACAGAATGTGGTGGGGTTAAACATGTTTGAAGGCGTCAACCCTCCCCCTGTAACCTTGGACAGTGGTGCAACGGCACAATACAAGAACAAATTATGCAAACAATATGACACGTTCGCATGCAGGGACGAAGGCGTGCTAAAATATGTTGTTGAATTCATTGTTCAATTCAAGTCACCGTATGTGCTTAGCAATGGCGAGACGAGTGAATGGCGAAGTTACATGGGAATGTTCCAAACTACTACATGCATTGCCTCATTCATACCAAGAACTACTATATATATATACAAAATAGACAATTGTAATATCATTGTTATGATGACATAAATTAAAAAGTATCATCGGCACTTATCTCCTTCTAGAGTGACAATTAGATACAAGTGCTGACTATCATCAAATGTGTACTCACTTGAAGGAATCCCGAATTGCAGGGTAAACCATTGTTTACTTAAATTCATTTTTGCAAAACGAACAAATTTTACGGGTTTAGTGTTGACGTTGATGATAAGATCATTTGTAAAACATTACATATGGATAAAACGTGTAGTACTTTTTTGAAATCTTCCTTTTAAACAATGAAATAGTTTAAATAAATGTTTTGTCCGTCTTTCATTAAAGCGGCGTATTTCTACAAAACGTTATTGGTAAATGGTAAAAGCATCAAGCTAGATATATGGGACACAGCAGGTCAGGATAGATTCCGGTGTGTAGCAGCAATGTTCTACCGAGGCGCAGCAGGAGCAATCGTAGTGTATGACATCACAGATAGAGTAAGATATTTTACATTGCATTGACTACATTGTATTTGGGGGTTAACGCTTGCTGGACATGTTATGAAGAAAACAGTTGCAGGGTCTGTATACACATGTTAATAAGTATGAGGATATACAAGAATGTATACAATATGCTTTTTTTTCTATTTCGATGCCTGTCTGTATTTCATTTTAACTTCATGTAATGTCAAATTTATTGTTTACCACTTCTGGAGACACAGTTTTATCATTGTTATAGATTGGCAGTTAGGCAAGTACGTTTGTAACACAAGATATAAATGCAGTTATGTAAAATAAGTGTGTATCTAGATCTGCGACACCGTCAGATGCGCTAAATACAAGATGCTCGTCGATATGTTCTCGCCGTCTTTATAGAAACACTTGTTGTTTTTTTTTTCAATTCAAGAATCTATAATACTAATATAACGAAGTCCAATTTCTTAGCCGGCATGACGTAAAAACGACGAACCAAAGAATTCAACTTTATATAACTAATATAGGACAATGGACAAAGGAGGACATTTAACACGCTGTTTCGGTACAGATTTAATGTGGGCATTTTCCCAGTTTCCTAGCCTGGCCTTGACGGGTATAACTACCAGAAAGTTAACCTTCCCCAAAAACAATGCAATAAAACATATGAACATACTTTCGCCTTATTATTCGCTCATCCTCAAAATATAAAAATTGAAAAATATAGAAACTATTATAAACAAAATAAGGAATAACGTTGTAGTAAGAAAACCAGGACGGGATAAAAAGAAAAAAAAATGAAGGTAGAGAAAACTGTGCACCTTATAATCAACATGACTTTATCAGATGACAATACGCACACTAAAAATCCAGACTAAAAAATAGGCGTTGGTACTTTTAATTCAGTCACGAACCCGCGATGTCGCAGGTGTGTTCTAGTAACAACAAAAATCCTGCGACAATTTAATCTAGTTAAGACATCAAATTAAAAAATTCTTAACCATTAAAGTTTCCCATAAGAAATGAATGTGTGTATACTTTCGTGTAATATTGTCAGAGCTAGAGATATACTTGTTTTTTTCGGGCGATTTTGTGACCATGCAAGTTAATTGATTAACTGATGGTGTATTTTGCAAACGAATCAAATAGGACAATCTTGCAATACCGTAAACCAACTTATTTTCGCGGATACTTTATTTCGCGTTTCGCTCTTTCTAGCCTACTTCGCGGCGATTAAAGTTGGCGATTTTCAAATTTTCTTGATGTATTTGAATTAAGAAAGATTCAAGTTTTACATATTCGCGACGATTTATATTCGCGTTCTTTTTCTACTCGCGAAAGTCGCGAAAATAAATCGCTCGCGAAAATTAGTTGGTTTACAGTAGTTGAAATTTTTCATTACTTCAAATATACAAACTCATCAAATAAGCCATGAAAATAAAATAAGAACGCGTCTCTCGTACTCTTCAGTCAGTTAAGTGAAACATGCCTTTGTACTATAGTTAATCAAATAGTTATTTAACATTTTATTTTTAGCGAGATATTACCAGCACAAAATTGCGTATGTAAGTGCATGGGACCCAAAACGGTTATTCAATGACGCTAGAAATATCTGCATGCATGATATGCTTCGTCATGATCATAAAAGTTAAATTGTGTCTTTTCAATGTTGGTTGGGTAGCTGTTTCAGTGGCATTTGCCCCGACGGCTTGTTTTAATTTAAATTATCAACTTGATTACAGGAATCTTTCCTTGGGGCCCAAACTTGGATTAAACAAATTTTACAGAATTCCAACAATCCAGTAGAGATATGCCTTGTTGGTAATAAGTTAGATTTAGCAGACTCGAGAAGAGCAGTTTCCGTAGAGGTATGGACGATTTTAATATCACGATAAGTTTGTACCATAACTCAGTTATGTAGAATAAAATAATTTCAGCTAAATACACAGAGTTACAGTTTTATCGTTATAACCACCTAGTTACAAATCATTATAGTTGCACAAACATTGGTTAGTATTTCCGGTTGATATAAGGAAATTAAATCCGATAGCTTTTGTTCAGAAAGAATCCCTCTCTTAATATAAAAAAACCCTTGCACGATCTATTATAGGAGCGAGTGAGTTACCTCATTATCAAGAGACAACCTCCATCCCAGTCCACTAATGTTGCGGTACTTACTTATTGATTTATTAGTTAATTTGTAAAAAAAAAGAAGACGTAAAATACCAAGGGGACATTCTGACAATGCATTTGCAAAAAACAATGAACGAAGAAAAGACGAACAAGTCTACAAAACACTACACTAACATAGAAAACTAAAGGTCGAGTAACAAGAACCCCACAAAACACTACACTAACATAGAAAACTAAAGGTCGAGTAACAAGAACCCCACAAAAAACTACACTAACATAGAAAACTAAAGGTCGAGTAACAAGAACCCCACATAAAACTACACTAACATAGAAAACTAAAGGTCGAGTAACAAGAACCCCACAAAAAACTACACTAACATAGAAAACTAAAGGTCGAGTAACAAGAACCCCACATAAAACTACACTAACATAGAAAACTAAAGGTCGAGTAACAAGAACCCCACATAAAACTACACTAACATAGAAAACTAAAGGTCGAGTAACAAGAACCCCACAAAACACTACACTAACATAGAAAACTAAAGGTCGAGTAACAAGAACCCCACAAAACACTACACTAACATAGAAAACTAAAGGTCGAGTAACAAGAACCCCACAAAACACTACACTAACATAGAAAACTAAAGGTCGAGTAACACGAACCCCACAAAACACTAAACTAACATAGAAACTAAAGGTCGAGTAACAAGAACCCCACAAAAAACCGGGGATGAACTTATTATATATCATAAGGTTGCATATGTATTTGCCACTGGTCGATGGGTAAACAACAAGCAAGCAAGCAATCTAATTGAGTCGTTAAATATTTGTTATAGGAGGGTAAGTCCTTTGCTGAGAAGAATGGATACTTGTTTGTTGAGACTTCAGCAAAGACTGCAGAAAACATAGATGGCTTGTTCAAACAATTGGGTAATTTATTAACTCATAAACTACATGTATAATTACATAAACATCATACATTATATTGAAAAAGAATTGAAATATAAAAAAAAGGATAAGAAAAGAAATAAATACTTAACAAACATTTATAATGAAGTGATTGGTGTATTGACACAGTAATACAACATAATGTGTGCATGAATAAGAATGAGGGAATATTCCAAATTAGGATACAACAGGGACAACGATACGTGAAAGGAATTTATTTGATTGTTGTTTTCTCATCTTAGAAGTTACTAATTCGTCTGATATCAGATATGATATCATAACTAATAGAAAACCGTGATTCAAACCAGAATCTGAGTATGATGGAGTTGTCTATCTTTGTCCAAATAAATATCATCTATACTTACTAAATTATTACAGACATTTCTATTTTTTATAATTATGTTTGAATGTTTATACTCTCAATAGTAAACTATTGAACCATTTTTGTCTTAATACTTTATTTTCTAGTTTGTGTATTACGTTGTGAATAGTTGCATTTTAATTAGTCTGCCCTTTAATTTGCACCTTGATTAAGAAATACAGTTATATATATATATGGCCTTCCAAATACCGTTTCGATTCCTAACATCACTGAAGAGACATTAATTGTCAATCCGGATATGGTGTACTAATTTTTGCACCTTTTGTTTTCGGTATACCATCTTTTCCGCAAGTTTATTGTTTTCTGTTTGGTATTAAATTAATAGTTAAGATCCATTTTGTTACATCTGGTGATCCGTTTATTTGGCAATCGCCACTGGCAGTCAGCAGGGTTTAAGAACATCCGTTGTTCGACCTGCTAGTCAAATGCGTTTTGTTAAAATATACTTTTGAACGTTGTTTTCAATTTAGACTTGTTTATATATATATATGTATTTGAAACAATGATAGAAAAGACCTCATTCCTATGAAGACGACACATAGCCTCAAATTGAAAACGGTATTCGCGTCTCCGATGTTCATTGATTCATTGAATTTAAATATATTATTGTGTTTGTTATCTCGTTGTACATTATACAATTACAGCCCTCTGAGGAGGGGGATATCCAAAATTGTCAATGCTGCTAAGGGTTATTCTCCGGGGGCTTTAGCTTTCTCTCGACTCATAGGGCCGTAACTGTTTTATTATACCGAAATACTTATATTTTGCCTGTGGAAAAAACGGTACAAATTCTCTCGGGGTTACTTTCCGGCCGATTTGGACAAAAATATTCGAATTAATTCTCACCCGCGTGATCTTTTATTAGCCAATAGATTTATTGAATTATACTTTGAGGATACATTATACTGTAAGAAACATAACAATAACATTCTGTATGCTATTTTATCCAATGGATAATTTTTGAAACATGTATATGTACTGCATATGTATGTATCTCCTCGCATAGTTCCTAAACTTTGATTTAACCAATGATCTCACATTTCTTGAGGGTTAGCAATCACTGAGCCTACTCCACTAGTGACCCCTGTCGCGAAACTATATTCAAATAAGTAAAGTTATTGTTAATCTAACACAAAATGCTGAGAAGGAAATTAGAAAAATGCGCATTTTAATATATATTTTACAGTAAGTTTGTATAATAAGGGATTATGTACTATCCCTGAAAATTTCAAGGATTATGTGTAATCGCTGGTATGTTTAGGGATTCTATGATATGTCAGTATCCTCATTCCTCAAGAGTTTATAAGATATTCATAGTATTTAAAAGAAAACGTCCAGTGGCAAGTATAACAATTGATTTCAAGACGATATAAATGTTATCTTTTTGGGGGAACAGAATGAAGGTTGCCCGGTAAAAGAGGGGAATTTCAATAGCGATTTTTATCATTTTCATTACAATCAAGGATGTGAAAAATTAAGCCTAACAACAATGGCCTTCACAGACCGATTATATGTTGCGCAGGTCACCCAACATGCAAAGCGCGAGGCATGTTTAAACTTATTCCATAGTTAACGCTATGAATACGATTTTTCTCTCTAAAACAATAAGTAAATGTATATCCATGGACACTTGTAAATGTATATACCCTAAGCTACCCATTGAGTAAAAATAAATCAAAGAAATATGTGTCCAACAGTATAGAATATAAATGTCTCTATTTTTTGCGCTTTTTTCACATTTCTTGATCGGTGTGAGAAAAATAGTTCTCCTCACTAGTGAAATATCTGTTCTCGGCAAATTATTGGTCGAAATTTAATTATGACGTCAAATTTTCTTGGTTTCTTCTGAATTTCCTATTGTGTCATCATGAAAAAAGGCGACCATGCCTGATGACGTCACATATAAAGATCACAACTTTCTGCAAATCTTTGAAAAGGAAGGATAAAAATAATTAGAGAAACAGATTCCACCAATATAACTCGTGTATTACGATATTTCTCCACTCTCAACATTTAAATTTTGATTATTTAAAAAGCTCGGCAAGCCTCGCGCTTTAAATATTAAAATTTAACTGTCTCAAGTGGAGAAATATCGTAACACACTTGTTGCAGTGATGAAATCTATATGTAATATATAAAGTTAAATAAAGTTCATTGTTTTACTACTTTTAGTGCGGAAGATAGTAAATGCAGATGGAGACGTACCAGATTCACATGACAACGACAACAGTATCAAATTAACGTAATCTTTTCTCTGCATGGATGATGTCATCATCAACGAAGATATTAAAAGAGGAGATTATTTCTCGAAAACATACTTTGTGCCATAACATTGTTACAGTGGGTTTAAAAATGCAAATGAAAGTGTGTTTTCTTATCAAAATTAAATGTAACTTGTTTGTACAGCTTGGCTACTCGTGTTCAAGATTGGATTGAGCGAGTATGTATTATCTATGATTGATCATCAAATGTTTTACATAGTCCACCGAAAGATTGCGACAACAAAAACTCGACTATGTTAACTTTTGGAACAAGTGAATGATCAGTGTTTATTTTCAACTCGGTGTAGTTGTTTCATTACCTACCACATTTTATGAGCGAATTTACCCTAAACCGAATTAGATAGGTTTGTTATTTTGATATTGCACTGCAACACTTATATGCATGAGCGAAGCTTGAAGGTCTCCAATCTTAATGGTAATTTTTTGTTTTTTTAAATTTGATGGTTGCGAACTATATTCAGTTTATCTGCAACAAAATTATATTAATTTAATGCATATGTAAGATTTACGTTTCAGTTCATTTTGTTCACCAAGACAGCGAAATATTTGATTTTATTAAGAACTTATATACTGTCAGTAGAGTGAAGACGATTTTTTTCCTTGAAAGAGATTGCACAATGATTAATATAACAAGAACATTTTATTATTTTATCTTATTTAAAGAAAAATATCAAATGAAACTAAATTACGCGTCATGAAAACCCGCATAGGAACTCTTTAAAACGGTTCAGAATCTTCTTTCCTTAAAATGTGTATTCCTGCTTTGAACAAGTGGCTAGGCCTTACACCAAATACGATTGTTCTAAAATTTAATAGTATCCTTGTCTAAATACTTTTTTCTGTATAAAAATCGTTATTTCTAGGGCTAAACCAATTCGAGATTAATTTTTATTTTTTTTTATTTTCAAGCTTTTCTTGTCTCTGATTCTGACCTTTTGTTCAATTGTACATGATTATACTAAATTGCTTTTCCTATAAAAAAAAAATACCTGTATGTTAAACAAAGGAATTTAGAAACTGACATTTTTACATATTGTTTCGTTTTTCTGTGCTTTTTTTCTTTTGATTTTATGTTTTACCTATTGGCCAGTATTGTCCGTTCATTTACGGTCATGTCAACGATATAATAGGGCATTTCGAACGATAGAAATAACGATTTTTACCGGACTTGACTTTTTTATTCCCATACCGTACATATCATACCCGGAGTCATTTGTCTTTGTGCGTAGTTTTGGTAGTTTTGCAAGATTAAACATGTTTACTGGTATGTTTTTCGAAACGTTTTTATTTAATAAAAATATTATGTAAGTTTTCTTTTGCATTTTTGTTTTTTAAGTAATTTTATGTAGTTCATTTACATTACGTATGTATATATTTTTTAATATTCTTAAAACAGAACATAGCATGAAGACCATTGTCGGAGATTATATTCTGTTAAAGAGATGTCATGTGTTCAGTTTTAATTAGAATTGTAAAGCAATAAATATTAAAACATCACAAGTATTTTAATATTTGGTATTCATTTAACATACAGCTAAAATCAGATCGATAAGTCGGGTGCTTTTGGACGAAAAGCATGGTTATCTTTGAGATTTGAATTTGGTAAATTCTGTATGTGTTGTACTAAGTTAGTAGCCTGTTACTCATTGGTTGTTGTTTATTGTTGTCTGTTATATATGTTTTTCGATGATTGTTTTGAAATAGATCAGGTTGTTTTGTTGGTTTTTTTGTTGTTTTTTTTTTTTGTCCCCTGCACATCGCGCCACGGGGTATATGGTAAAGGATTCCGTCAGTCCGTTCGTCCGTCAGAAACACACCAATATCCTGCGACCGTTTAATAATAGTAATGCTTTCGTACTTGATAGGATTATTTGTCATCACAAAAAAAATCTTTTGAGCGTGCTCTGTCGTCAGTTTGATTTTATAATGTTTACTGGAGTTTTTGGACTTTGAATTTTTTTTAGTCCTGTAACAATGACACCTAGTGAACGCAATTCATCTGGGTTCGTTTAACAGAACGCTGTTACACTTGGTAGGATTGTTTGGGATCATGTGGTTTGAAAATATTATACCGTCATTTTGATTTGAGCATTTTTACGGGAGTTGTGAGATATTGACTCTATTTTGGAATATTGTGGCACTAACACCAGAGTTTGTGAAAACAACACCTCCTATACCATTTGACAGAAGCTCAGATACTCAGTACTATTGTTTGTCCCCATGTGTAGTTGATATTGTACCACCATTCTGATTTAATCATTTGTACAGGGGGTATGGGACGTTAACAATACTTTGAATATCGTACCAGAATGAAAAATTGACACACACCATTTTATTCCTTATTTATACAGCGCGCTGAAAATTTTACTACGCTATAGCAATCTTGTTTGAATTGGTTCACCTTTTTTTTATATTGGAGCCTTTTATAGCTGCCAAGACTATACGGAATGAGTTTGCTCATTGTTGACGGTCACACGGTGACGTTTTAGATGCTTAAAACCAGTTCCTGTGGTCTATGGTGAATAGTTGTCTGATAAGCCATCATACTTCATCTCCTCATTTAGATTATAGTAAATATGTATAGTTCTGTGAAAGGAATGTTTTGTCATGAAAAAAATACACCATATATAGATATAAGAAGATGTGGTATGAGTGCCAATGAGACAACTCTCCATCCAAGTCTTTTTTTTTACAAGTAAACCATTATAGGTCACAGTACGGTCCTCAACACGGAGCCTTGGCTCACATCGAACAGTAAGCTATAAAGGGCCCCAAAAATTACTAGTGTAAAACCATTCAAACGGAAAAACCAACGGTCTAATCTATATAAAAAACGAGAAACGAGAAACACTTATGAACCACATCAATAAACGACAACTACTGAACATCAGATTTTTGACTTAGGACAGGTGCTAACAAATGCAGCGGGTTTAAACGTTTTAATGGCACATCCCTTCATGTCCATTACATTGACAAAGTCAAAGGTCCGATAAGAACTTTATTTAATTGGTCAAATCTTTCTTTACTGAAATTTGAACTTTTCATTCATGTATGTTTTAAAACAGCAGGAACATGCAACGTTACATTAAGACATTTCAGCCATCGCAGGACTGGACTCGGAAAAAGTTACGACGGAAGCCACATGTGGAGCATGATCTGCTTACCCTTCCAGAGTACCCGAGATCTTCCCCCCCACTCCCCCCCCCCCCCCCCCCCCCCCTAGTAATGCCGTAGTACCTACTTCTTTATATAAATTGTTTACGTTTAGAACCGCCGTAGTACCTACTCCTTTATATAAACTGTTTACGTATAAAACCGCCATAGTACCTACGCTTTTATATAAGCTGTTTGCGTATAGTAATGCCGTAGTACATACCCCTTTATATAAACTGTTTACGTATAAAACCGCCATAGTACCTACTCCTTTAACCGCCGATAAATTGATGGATTTTGTTACCTTGACAAACTGCTAAATTTGTTTAACGTGAGGGTACCCAAATTGCACCTATATTGACAGTTTTTTCATCTACGTTAATTAAGAAACAGTCAACAGTTTTCATTCTGTGTTTATTTTGTAAATGTATCCGTATTTATTTTATAGTTCACAAATGTAGTTTTGAATCCATACTGAATTATAGAAAAATGGGATGACACCGACTTCTAAACGATCCAAGATTCTGAGATAAGGAGTTCCTATAGCATCATGTTTAACAACAGATCCACGACAAATTGACAAAATAAAGGGAAGGTTCTTATTAGGTGAACAAAAAATGTCCATCTATGGACGTTTTTTATTGACATTACACAAACCTGCAGTTTTTGTTTACCAAAAATCGTCTGAATTTTGCGGATCATGAATTAAAATTTGTGTATTGTATCTAGTCCCTTTTTTATGGGCGCTTTTAGTATGGGCATCCTTCCCGTCCCAATCCTCCTTGTTTAAGATAATTCGTGATGCGGCGATTTAAAAAAAAAGTATTCCGGCTACTGTTTGCTAGTGCATACTTGAACCATTACATAACAGATGATACACGTATTGTTAACAGCAGGAACATGCAACGTTACATTAAGACATTTCAGCCATCGCAGGACTGGACTCGGAAAAAGTTACGACGGAAGCCACATGTGGAGCATGATCTGATTACCCTTCCAGAGTACCCGAGATCGCACCAAAATGGGTGTATAGTGGATCAATTTCTATGAAATTATGTCTAGAACTAATTTTCTAACATTTGAAATTGTCTTAAATCTTAGAATGAAGAAAACATGTGAAGGACTTCGTTTCAAATATTCTATGTTATGCTATTTTATGAGAAGACTAACTTTGTTTGTAGGCTACATACTCTAACAATCCTTAAGGATTTGTAGAATTCAAAATGAACAAACTACATTTACAATATATCCAATCCGACTTGTTTATAGATTAAATTAACAAAATGTTGACAGAACTGAAGAAATGCCCTCTCTCTAAACTTACATAGTTATATGCAATTAAGGTAATTTTGGGGACTAGACTTTGGTCATTCTTAATATAAACTGTTTACATCTACTTCAAATAATACAACATGTGGGATGTTTATTACAATGAAAACTGCTAACGTAAGTTGAACTTGTTAATTTGTGTACAGAATGGACTTACAGATGTTTTCCATCATAGTATGAACTGGAAGGTATAAATTTGTGTTTTCGTAATGCGTTAGGCTTATAATCTCTTTTCTTAAGTTATTGCTAGTCCATTCTGTTGTGTGATTTATATTTAGTTATTGATTTAGTATTCCAAGTTTGACATACTACATTTTGAAAATGTCTTAACTTTCAAACATTGACCATTGCAAACACCGTCAGTTGCTGTATGCTCATGTCCTAAACACAGGAGTTTGTAATCCAGTGTTGCTTCTCGTTGCATGGTTGCTGTCTGCCACAACACATTTTAGTTAAATGTTATAGTATAAGTCACACCGTTTGTTTTTCTTTTTTAATTGTTTCACATTTGGTCATGTTGGTCGTTCATGTTTTTTTATGATCTACTATACGTTAAGGGTGTTGCTCATTGTTGAATACCGTACGTTGACCTGCAATTGCTTTTAGTCTTTAATGTATAATAATAGCTTTCTTTTTGATAATCATACCTTATGAACTTATTCATGTATACAACACGTTGCATTTCAATGTCATATCACTTTTACTGTCTGCTTAAGTGCAGTGAAAAAACGTTAAAGCTCGGCATGAGAGGTACCAAATTGCATTAATTAACAGGTGTTATTCATTGATACTGTAAAATGTCAGCTGTTAGTCAATATGAAGATTTTCTTCGAGTGGGAGAGCAAAATGTCAATGAGTTTGACGTCACAAAACCGTGATATACAATGTCATGAAAAAGGTAAACTAAGTGAGTCCGTTAGCTTTCTCGTTTGAATTGTTTTACATTTGTCATTTCGGGGCCTTTTGTAGCTTGCTGTGCGGTATGGGTTTTACTCATACGTTGACCTATAGATGTTAACTTCTTCGTCATTTGGTCTCTGGTGGGGAGTTGTCTCGTTGACAATCATGCCACATCTTCTTATTTTTATATTGTAAGAATCCATACATTATGTGGATTCCAGATATTTGGAAATTAAAGATTTCAGAGAGATTCTCATACATGCATATATTAATGGCAGGAAAACCCAACAATTTGCTTTTAATAAATAGACACGTTAAGAGTTCCTGATAAGATCTATACTAATTCACAAATTTGCCCTGAGTCTTTCTGTCTCATTTCTATTTTATTTTGGTCTCGAAATTTTCTTTTGATATGATCCCGACATTTTTGTTTTGTTATGGTCTCGACATTTTTGATTGTGATGGTCTTGTCATTTTTGTTTTGTTGTGGTCCTGTCATTTGTATCTGTTATGGTCTCGACATTTTAGTTTATGGTCTCAACATTTTAGTTTATGGTCTCAACATTTGTGTCTGTTATGGTCTGGACACTTTTTCTTTTGTTATGGTCTCGACATTTGTTTTGTTATGGTCTCAACATTTTTGTTTTGTTATGGTCAGAATATTGTTGTTTGCTATTGTCTCGACCGTTTTGTTTGTTATGGTCTCAACATTTTTGTTTTGTTATGGTCTCGACATTTTTGTTTGTTATTGTCTCGACATTTTTGTTTTGTTATGGTCTCAACATTTTTGTTTGTTATGGTCTCGACAGTTTTGTTTGTTATGGTCTCGACAGTTGTGTTTGTTATGGTCTCGACAGTTTCGTTTGTTATGGTTCCGATATTTTTGTTTGTTATGGTCTCGACATTTTTGTTTGTTATTGTCTCGACATTTTTGTTTTGTTTTGGTCTCTACATTGTGTCTGTTATGGTCTCAACAATTTTGTTTGTTATGGTCTCAACAGTTTTGTTTGTTATGGTCTCGACATGGTATTATCCCTCCTTTGTCTACATCATTTTATTTTCGCCCCTTATTTTTGATATCTTTTTAAAGAACTTGATAATGATTTTGGAAAGTATTTATGTATTGC